TTTTTGATGCCAGTTCTTGAAAATTTGCTTTATTGTGCTGACTTGTTTGTAAGACAACTGCTGGTAAAGCCTTGAATTTGCTGAGGTTTCAAGGTTTGACTTTTTTCATCTATAAATATATCTGCAGACAATAGAATGCAAAAAGTATATATATATATATATATATATATATATATATATAAAACATAACCTCATGTTTTTCAGATCAGATCTTGCTTTTAATTTGGAAGGCTATGCCTTTGTATTGCTAAATGATATCTTCACAGCAGCAAATGGAGTTTACACAAAACAGAAAATTGATCCAAAGGTAACTTTGTGATGAACAGATTTTATAGGGGGCATGTTTTTATTTTTTGGAAAGGGTTTATCTTCTGTTATAACATAACTAGATGAATGTCAAGTAACACCAGATTTTAACAAATATAATGAGTTTCATGTGCTTTCATACTCTAGTTACATACATGATCTTTATTACAGTTAACCTAGGGAAAATTTCAGGCTGCATAGAGGGAATTAATATATTTGACTTTTACCCAGTGCACCCTTAATAGCGGAGTGGAGCATGGTATTATATAATGTCAGGGGTGTCAAACTCCTCTGGCTCCAGGAGGACCAGTCCACGGGTTGAAATAGTGGTGTGGAGCCAGCCCCATGGACTGCATTGGGCCCACAGTCCCCCTTCCTTTCCCTTCCACCCCCCACATGCTGGATCCAGAGCTTGCTCCATACATATAACAAGAGTAGTGAAAACACAGCAGTATGAGCTCAATACTGGTCTCTTGTCAGGGCTGTACATTAGTTGCCATCCCATGCTGAAGCCAATAGTGCCATGCCTTCATTATTATTTTTACTCTTGCTAGGTACCTTTTAACTAGCAAGTGTCTGTCTATATGTGCTACCATCACATGCTCATCCTGCTGTGTACGTCTCCCAATCCTAACAAAGTGTCATCTGAGTACTAGCTCAGGTTACTCCTGAGTCCTTACCCTGTACAAGATCTGGTGGTTCTTCCAAAGCCCAGCTACACCAGGCTACATTCCAGAATTCACCAGCTGTCAACACAAAGCAGTTCAGGATATGGACTTAATTAAAGTTCTAGCTCTGTGATTGAGACTATATACCCCTGAACATGAGCCAGTACAGAACTGAGTGTGCAGACATGCTGACTGAAATGGTAGTTCATCACAGTGATTAAAGGCTTTAAGTGTAAAGATTGTGATTCTATTATTTCAGTTGTGCTGCATTGAGTTATGCCTAGTCATAAATAGACCACCAGAGCAATGGTTAAGTTGTTATTGCCTAACATGCTTCAAATCTCCAAAAGGTCTGTTTCATATTTCACAGGAGCTGGGGAAATATGGAGTCCTTTTCTATAATGCTTTTTTTATGGTGATTCCAACGGTTATTATCAGTTTCTCTACTGGAGACCTACAGCAAGTAAGCAGCCTCTTCTCAAATTTCCACATTATCCTACTTTATGTGCATGTTATGTACTCAGAGTTCCTAGGAGTAAACTGTGCTAGCAGCATTCTCCAAATGTATAGCTTACTGATCTGAATTAATTTCAGCAGGGTACAGAAAATGTTACTTAGTATATTCTGGCTGTTTGTTTCTTCACTCAACCAGAAATATTGGCCATTCATTTTTAACAACATAAAAGATGATTAATAAAACTGTAAATGCACTTTCTCCTTAAAAAAGAAAAAATAAAGAAATCTACACCATATTCTATCATTTTCACATTTAATGTTAGAGTGATAAGAGAGTGCTCTTATTTGACTGTGCAGGTGCATGTGCACATGCTATTAATGCTCTGTTAGCTTACTGTACAGTAAAATACACAGTATTTTTTGGGAGCGCATCTACACTTGTGCCCCTTGGGAGCAAATTTGCTTCTGACAGAAGCAGTTAAGTGCAGGGCTATTCCTGCCCTCTCCTGCCCCCCTACATCAGCCAAGGGGTTGGGGGGAACTTCAGGCTCCCCCAGGTGCCAGCCCCAGCATGGCAGGGGACATCAGAGTAAGGTCTGGGCTCTAGGGGAGCAGCTGCCTCCCAGCCCATCACCCCTGTCCCAGGCAATTGACTCCTGCCCAGCCCCAGCTCTGAGATTGGAGTGGAGGCTGGGACTGCCCTGGGCAATTCCCCTGCCCCCTGTTCTCTGCACTGACTAGGAGCAATTTGCTCCCAGTCAGCTGTCTACACATGTGCTACTATGCAGTAAATCTACTATGTGTATATACAGGTGGTAGCCAACTACGCAGTAGACAAATTTACTGCGCCGTAAATGTTGCACATGTGTAGACAGTGGTGCTTTACTGCGCAGTAGATTAGTTTATTGCGTAGTAAAGCATCTCGTGTAGACACACCCTATTTTATGGATTTTTTAAAAGGCAGTTTTTCTTCTGTATGTGGATTTTACCTTCATAAGAAAGAGCCTATAGGTAGTAGTCCTTGGGCACTTTTACACATGCTCTGGTGGTGGAAGGGGGTGGCACTTTAATTAAAGCGGCTCCAAGAGCTTATTTATTTAAAGCATCATCGTGTCTCCTATATTAGTGTCCCTGCACTTAAAAATTGCGGTGGGGGTGGTTGAATGAAAGCTTGTCGAATGAGCACACCTGTTCAAGTCCCCCTGCCGCCTTAAGTGCAGGGACACAAGATGCACGAGATGCAGGAAGCTGCTGGAGCACAGCAGTTGCCACACTCCAGCAGGCTCTATTAATTGAGTCTGCTTCTTCACCACACTAGAATTCCAGTGCAGTGGAGCAACCTCTGCACTTGTGTATAGGTGGCCGTTGCTTCTTTGAGTAGTTCCCTTTTAGTTAGTATTTACCAGTTACCTGCTGTTGTGCACTGAACAGGCCGTGACATTTTTATATTGGTGTATTTTTAAAATACTGTCATTACTATGGTGAAGTTCTGTCCTCTGTGTGAAATATCATCTTGTAGCCTCAGTTTAGTTTAGCGAACTATTGTCTATTTCAAAAGCATATCAAACAGCCTTGTTTGTGTTTTCAGCGGAGGCCCAAATTTTTACATGGTAATAGGGTTTAACTGTAGAAGACTGAAAGGGTGGAGGCATTTCAGTGGCAGTGCACAAGGAAGTTTACTGCTGTGGTTATATGCTGGTCAGAGGAAGGATTTCATTGTCCTGGGATGTTTATCTGGCACTTCTCAAAAGCAATTCAATGATCTTTTTGTTTTTTCTTTAAAAACGAAAAGAAAACCACAACAAATCTATCACGGCTACTGAGAATATATTTAATTTAATCTATTAGTATTAAGTCCCATTACTTTTGGAGAGGAAACGCAATGGCCGCATCTGTATGAGACACTGCTGCACAGTGGTACTGGGCATTTATTTAGCACTTGTATAATCAAATACTAAATAAATGCACAGTAACTGGAGTTACTGAACAGTAGTGCTGATGAACACCTTTTTAGTGACACTACTGTGCAGTAGCGTATTGGCACTGTTGGTGATGTGGTGCTCTACTGTGGAGTATTATTTGGCCACTGCGCAATCAGCTTCTTATGTGGTCAGTATCTATGCGGTAATTAAAATAACAGAAAATGCAGAGAAGCTGTTGAATGATTTTTAAATTAGTGTAAATTATACCTTTAATTTAGCTGATTCTCAGATAACAGGAGTTTTCATTGCATTTCTGCTACCTCGTCAGGGTTTGCACTTCAGTCCATCATGAGCAGTATACAGTCTCTGCTGTGATGGGCAGTGCCAACCAAAATATTTATATTCAGTCTGGGTAACGGCGGAAATTTTTTTCCACTTCCCATGACTAGTGCAGAGTTGATAAAATAGAGCATCTCATAAACAATGCTGTCTGTGAATGTCTCAGTCAGTCATTTGTCCATAGCCCTGCTGGATGATTATTAGCACATCTTACTCCGAGAAAGTGACCTGAAAAAAAAAGAAAGTGAAATCTCTTTGATGCTTCTTTGTAACAGTCATAATTCCAGTTTTTTTATGGCTGCATATTCAATCATTTAAACTATCTGGTTTGGGTGCTGGAAGTAGTCTCAGTGGTCAATAGGGGGGAAAGTGACCTAACATAATAGTTGCCAATGTATAATTTTGACTTCTATTGTCCTCTTTCACAAGAAACAGTCTTCAATATGATGTTTTAACTTCTTAATTAATGTGATAAATGAAATATTTGAAATAGACCTTTCCTTCCATGTTGCCAACTACTTCTGTTAGAATGAAGGAGTGTTCTGATGTCTCTTTTTACAAGTTTCTATTTTCAGGGAGCTGAGTGAAGGCTTCTTAAAGATACACACACATTCTTGTTTTTGCACTAAAAAGAAAATGTTGCTCAATACTTGTATGTGAGGATGGTGTTAAGCTAACCATCCTTACCTAAGGCTTTGCATAATATAATGGGTTTTTGAAAAGGTAGAAGATCAATCAAATTGTTTACTCCCATCAGCCACTACAGCCAAATAATATGGTGTCTGGTTTGCAAAAAGTATGCCTTCTTTACCTTTCATGCTCCACTATTGGCAAATCACAATTATGCAGAGCTAAATAAATTTCAAATATCCATGAACGTTCATGAATTCACGAATTACAACATGCAGTAAAGGGGTGATGTTGTAACCTTGATAGTTCAAGAAATACCTAAAAGGAAAGGATTTTTGTGGATGATATCCTTTATTGGATCAGCTTCATGGTTGCAGTGCATTCTTCTTTAGGTACCCTGCATTTGAAAGCCTGTGTAAGTCCAATAAAAATTATCACCGACAAAAACTCTTGTTTCTTGCATGCTGTAAATCCACTTATGAAGCCCCTTGTTTACGTCTGCAAAGATGCTGAATATTCATTGAAAACTGTAATAAAGATCTCTTTGACTTCAGTAGATACAGGATTAGACCCTAAAATCTGTAGACAACAGTCCTATTATTTGGAATAGGTACAATTCTGAGGGAAAGAGATTTATTTTTATAGCTTTTTACTAATGTTACTGTAAAGACTGCTTTGCTATATATAAATGATATATAATATCAACTCCATGTATAAATGGGTGTTCAAATCACTAATTTGTCTGAAGTGTAAATTAGTATTCATTGGTTGCATGGTGCTTTCCAGACACATTTTACCACATCAGTCTTCTACAGTTAAGTAATGACAGAGGCAATTGAAGACTGTTTTACAAATAAACTAAATTTGTAACTTGTTCATACCATTAACTTGTTATTTATTGAGTTAAATTTGTAAATTGTTTCCAGTATGAATATTGATTCTTCATAATTCCAGTATGTATCTTAGTATTTTTTCATATTTTCATTTTAGCCATATTCTCCATGTATGTATATACGCTTTTAATCATATGGCATCTAATCATATATTTGCTTTTTTTTATAGGCCACAGATTTCAAGCACTGGACAAATTTTTTATTTCTCTTTCAATTTCTTCTTTCCTGCTTGTTGGGGTAAGGGTATAGTTTGATAAATGTCAATGTTTGGGCTACTATTATTTCGAATCTCAAAAGTAAAATCCTCAAAGTAGGTCTATGGAAATTTCTAAGAGAATGTGTTTTACTAAAATATGGGGGAGAGATTCTCAGGAGATGTTTAATGACAAGGGACTGGATCCAAACAATTTTTATTGTCCTTAAAAAAATGTATTGGTTAGAAAAGTGTTACCTTTTTATTAAATCTCTCTTATTTGTCTCTTTCAGTTCCATGAGTTTCTCTCTCTGCAGTTAATAGATTGTAAGGTCGGTAGGCTAGGGTCTCTTTCTGTTTATTTGCTCTTTGAAGTACCTGGCACAACTTGGACTCTATAAAATGATGAATAACAATAAAAAATACAGTTAGCATTGCAGAGCCAAAGAAGGCTAGAAAAGCCAGCTGGATTCTATTCTCTCTCACACATCATCAACCCAAGTGTCAGCTAATTTTAAATAATGTCATTTGTGTTACTGGTGGTGAGATAGCGTATAGAGAACGCAACCTGATTCACATCTCAGATAGGGCTTGTGCAGATGATATTTAGAAAGAGCTTTTTTCTTTTTACTTGTATTTTGAACAAATTTGGTGTAGAGCCATTGAAATAAAACAAAACAGTAATCCTACAGTGTCCTTTTTAGAGTTGCTTTTTTCCCAGAAGGTAGATATACTTTAAAGGGACAAGAGGAATTGAAGTCTCCTGTAAGATATTGATCACCAGGGATCCTGGTTTTCTCTGATAAAAAAAAATCTCCCAAATCCACATTTTTCAACGATTAAAATGAAACACCACTAATATAGATATATTTTTCTGTGATTAAAATGAAACACCACTAATATATAGATATATCTACTTATGTGTCTACTAATATGTAGATACCTCTCTATATATTAGTGATGTTTCATTTTAATCACAGAAAAATGTGGATTTGGGGTTATTTTTTTTAATCCGAAAATTAGGGATTTTATTTATTAGAGAAAACCAGGATCCCTGTTTCATAGTTGGTAGGGTCAGAAGGGACCTACGCAGATCATCTAGTCCAACCCCCTGCCATGGGCAGGAAAGGATGCTGGGGCCAAATGACCCCAGCTAGGTGGCTGTCTAGCTTCCTTTTGAAGACCCCCAGGGTAGGGGTGAGCACCACTTCCCTTGGAAATTGGTTCCAGCTGCTAGTCACCCTGACGGTGAAGTAGCACCTCCTGATATCTACCCTGAATCTACTCTCAGTCAACTTATGGCCATTGTTCCTTGTTACCCTGGTAGTGATCGAGGGAACAGGGACTCTCCCATAGCCTGCTGGTCCCCCTTGGCAAGTTTATAGGCAGCCACCATATCCCCTCTCAGCCTTCTTTTGTGGAGGCTGAACAGGTTCAGGTCCTCTAGCCTCTCCTCATAGGGTCTGCCCTGCTGCCCCCTAATCAGGCGAGTGGCCCTCCTCTGGACCCTCTCAATGCTGTCCATATCTCTCCTGAAGTGCACCGCCCAGAACTGGATGCAGTTCTTCAACTGCGGCCTGACCAATATTGCATAGAGGGGGAGGATCACCTCCTTGGACCTGCTTGTGATGCGTCTGTGGATACATGACAAAGTGTGGTTAGCCTTCCTGACTGCTCCCCCACATTGGCGGCCCATATTCATCTTGGAATCAGTAGTGATTCCAAGATCCTTTTCTGCCTCTGTGCCGATGAGAAGGGAGTTCCCCACCCTGTAGGTACACTGCTGGTTCTTCCTCCCCAGGTGCAGCACCTTGCACTTGTCCGTATTGAAACCCATCCTATTCTCATCCACCTGTGAACTGTTGATCACTTACAGTTCTGAGCACCTCTGAATGTTACTGATCCATCCTCAACTCATATTGGTACTGATAACTGAAGAAGATTTTCAGCACCTCTTAGAAGTTCTTTCTCCCCATGTATAAGTGGTACAAGTTGGATACAGATATAAATGCCACAAAAGAAAAAGTGACACATTTTTCTCCTTAAAGAGCTACTCTGTAGGGTACTTAATAAAACTCCATGTCAAGCAAATATTCTTTATTTTAAAACTTTATAACTACATAACATTTTATTTTAGTGTAACAGGAAATGTCATTATTTTATGGTGTTTGCTTATGTAATAGATTCACATGTAATGGACTTACTAAGATTTGTCTCCCTACTTCAGGTTTCTCTTAATGTATTCTACAGTCCTATGCAGTCACTACAATTCTGCACTTACAACAGCGGTGGTTGGTGCTATTAAAGTAAGTTTTAAAAGAGAAATGGGAATATTGAAATGGACAATGTAGAGTCTTCAGTTCCCAGGTGTCTTGATTATGTTTTAAAATGGCTGGCTGTATTTGCATGGAACTCAACATAAAGACTAGGGCTGTGCGAAGCTTTGGTCCCTGATTCGATTCAACAGAGATTTGGCCCTATTTGGTGGCCAAATCTCCAAATCTGAATTGAATCAGAGGACCCTTTAATCTCTCCAAATCAATTTGGAACCCTCCAAATTGATTTGGAAAGATTCAGACAGATTCAGTAATTCACATATAGAGACAGCTTTAAATGTGTTTTATACATACCTCTAGGTAGCAGAGGCTCTGAATACTGTGATGCTGGGGCAGATGCAGCATCTCACAAAAGCATGGGGGGCTCCCCAGTGCACTCAGCAGCAGACCCGGAAGTGGACCAGAACCACTTCCTGGCCCCCCTCCCCAGGGACTGGTGCCTCCTGGGTCTGGGGGGGCACCCGGCGTCCCCCCGTGGCTGATCACTGAGCTGGGGGGTAGGGGGGGCCCACGGGTACTTGCAGTCCACTTCCGGGTTCACTGCCAAGCGCTCTGGAGAGACCCCCGTGCTCCTGTGGGACGCTCCATCTGCCCCAGCATTGCAGCAATCACGAGCTGCGCTGCTACCTCAAGGTATGTAGAAAAAAACTTTTAAAGCTGTGCCTGTGTCCAAATTGCTGATTTGCCGAATTAGCATCAAATCTTCAGATTCAGATGCGGCCGAATTGAATCAGGGACAGTGATCCAAATCAACAGATTGAATCACT